TCGCATTATGCATTCATTTAGGTGCAATTCATTAGACAATTCATCACTGCTTTCAATGTAAGCGAAGGATGTCAATTTCAAAGATGTTAATTGTGATTCGTAACAAATAAACGAATAACTGTCAATAAAGTGAACGAACTGATTCATAATTTCAGAAGAAATAAAAGTGATCTGCTTATTGAGAGGTGAGTTCGAGTTCGACGATGACTGTTGGTGAGATTCACTGGAAGGACTTTCTGCAGAACTTATCGATGAGAGTCGATGACGTTCACAACTCTCGGAACGACGACTCAACGGTGAACTTGATCCTTAATTATATGTATGACTTTAATTGCTATACCGTATACACAAAAAAGAATGACTGATTACTGGATGTCCTCTTAGGCGACTGTTGCTGTTTAGCTTGCGTGTTGACGGCCACTCTGAACGAGATGCTTTCATCGAGGTCGTTGTTACTGAACGAATGAGACATCAGATTCGGGTTTGTTTGAGCGTTGTTCATCAGACATTCGTCATTCAGCAACTTCAGATTCGACGTATTCATTGAGATCGGTGAGAATGATACACGAGAAGAGGTTACTGCTATGCGATCTGAAGACAAACTCATTTATAAAAATTCATTTCTCGTGAAATCAAGAAATTCATTTCCTCGACTGGATTAAAGACTGGGATGGAAAGTTCAGTGAACAATAGAAGACTACTGAATAAATGAAACAAAGATAGGCAATATAATACCGTTTTTATTATTGCCGTCTTTATTACCGTCCTCATCACTATTTAGAGGTGTGCCCAAATTATAAACGTAATTTTCGTTATCAATAAAATTATATTTCATCGGAATAAAACTGCGTTGCGCTGGGCTATATCCTAATGAATTGTTCGGCAGCAAATTACACCTCGAATCATTGTTCACTGACGACTCACTGAAAAGTTCGTTCGTTGGAATTGATTCAGAAAGGATCACGCATTCGTGTGGTACATTCGACATGATGCATTTGTCAAAGCGACAATATTATTCACGCAGATGCATTGCGAGTTGTGAGATTCACTGTTTTAGCAGTTGAATTCAGTATCACCGAATGAGCAAAACAGTTCACAAAATTATGGAGACGAAAAATTAAAGAATTACGGAAAGAATCGGACCTGTCAGCGATGAACTTGTCGAGCTGTTTGCTGGTCTGAATGGAGCTCATCGGTTTACTATATGACGAATTACGACTTATTTCCGACAAGTTTTGGCTGGATATTCGATCGCTGTACGATGATGCATCCATAAACGATTTCGATTGTTCGTACTGATCATTCGATGTTACGAAACTACTGAAATGATGGATGGTCAATCAAACGACTGATTCAGAGACAAAAAGAGTAATGAGTAAAAACCAACGCTGATGAAGCGTACGAGCGATACGATGCAGGTGAGTCCAGGCAAAGTGGTGAGAGGAACTGTGAGGACAACTTGCGCTCATTGACTGGGGATGACACACTCAATTTCTTCGGAGATGGACGCACCGTTATACGACTATTTGACTTTTCTGAATATCACTTCGTATATTTACGTGCAATTTATTTTCATTATCATTTGTGAAACAGGAAAATGACTGAATAAGAATGAAAGATATTTATTATTTTACCTATTTATTATTTTGCAATTTATTTTCTTACTTTTACCTATTAAATTTATTTCCATTACCAATAGTTCTTCTCTTTCTTTCTTACACTTTATTATTTTTAAATCTCAAAATGAATTTTTAGATGAGTAAACGACATTTGCCAACTATTGACTTTAATCACACCGATCAGCAAAAGAGAACGAAAAAGTTGAAAACTGATTGAATATGAATGAAAAAAGATTCAGAGAAGAAAAACAAGGAACCGTTTTGTTTCAATTGATAATTCGTATACGGACTGACAGCAGATAAGTGGAATGCATTCGCCAAGGAATACAGAGCATTAATGACTGCGATTACTAATAATGTTATTTCGATATTTATTGTCAACATGTATTCCGACCAATTCTCCATTACTTGAGACAACATCCAGTTCAGTATGAAACCATTGAATAGCATCACCTAACAAGAGAATATAACATATTAAAATTTCTATTAATAACCTTAACTAATACTATATCACAATGACCGATTAGATTTAATTATGACTATTGACGGGGTTAAATTACGCACAATATTGGAAAATTAGACCGAAACTAACCTCAATCAATAGACTCATCGATAAAACAGTCCATAGCACTGCAGGTTGCCAATAAATATTACATCTGAAATGCAATAGTTTATATTTAAATCTTTTACGAAACAATCAAACGTGTAGCATTATGCAGACGGACATCACACTCACTTACTTCGTTATCAGCATTCCATCCTCTTTCTTCGTCGAGGAAATCTGCGATCGTTCAGACAGCATCCCAAGTGAGGCGTGTGCATAGTCAGACATTCTTTCTTCCTTAAAGGAGAATTTAACCGAAATCCTTAACCAATATGCTCAGACTGTTGTTCTTTACTCAAATTTAAAACTGTTCACTTGCCACTCGCAATCGCAAATGTGCAAAACAAGAAATAAGAAAAACCTCACAGAAATTTTTAGCAGCAAATAATTTCAATTAAAATTTTCTAAGATGTATGAACGAAAAGCAAACGCTTTTTTGAATAATAGAGGCACGCATTTCTGTAAAAGTGATTTATTATTCTGCATATATACATTTTGTATAATAGTGGAGAGTTAAAAATTACGAAACATATCAATGAGATAATCATTAAATTATTACTGATCAGTTATGAAATGATATCAAGTCATATTTACGGTGACCNACCGGAAAATATTGTGATCATTAATAATTATCAAAGCAACTATACTTAATGCCACTAATTACTAGGAATCTATGAACATGGAGCTTGTCTTGTTCGGTTTCGAAATGCAGATCAACTGATAATGACTCGATAATATATGCATCCATCAAAACAACAATAATTATAACATTGCACAATCAAGATAGCTTCATAGCACCTATACACATCGAATTGATGAAATTAAATGAGAATATCACAGAGCATTCAAAATGAAAACATCAATGAGAAGAATGGACTGAACTTTTCAAAAGTCAACAATAATTAACAGAAATGTTTGCAAAACATTTAATTAGAAACGATGGTTCGTTAAGTACTGCGTCCGTCCTCTATATTTACACGATACACTGACATCATCAGACTTATTCAAAACTCTTTGATCTAACGTGAAAATGGATGACTCGGTTCATGTTTGTAGCAATGTTTCAGCGTTTCACTCTTATATTTATTTTCCAAATGAACACTCTTAAAGAAAGCAACATTAGCAACAAACAAAACAAAACGATATGTTACTTTCACCTTTTGAACCAAAAATTTGCACACTTCATTTCAAATCGAATTTTCACTCGGAAACCTTCATCATTCACCTCGTAACAACAGTG